GGCTTTCGACAAGTTGATGGTGAAGCTATGGGTAGTCCATTAGGACCATTACTAATTGATATTTATGTCAAATAACAGAATTCTGGGTGGTGATCTTATCGCTAAGGTCCTTCTTTACAAGGAATGTGTTGACGATTTCACAGTGAGTTGTGAGATGCATGAGGGTATGGTTTGTCTACTTTCAAAGGCTTAACGTCACACAAATTCATATCAGCCTGACTTATGAGACAGATAATTATAATCATCTGGCACCCTTAGACGTACTATTGAGTCCAAGAGATGGTTCAATAGGATGGGCAGTCTACAGAAAGCCTACATGGACAGAACGATAAGTGAGTTCTCACAGTTTTTATTCGATCCAACGCAACCGATGTCTAATAAAATGCCTATTTAACACGTTTTATCGTATCTGTACATTAGATGTGATGAATGAAGATATCAAATTTCCGACGAAAACACTTGTGGAAAGCGGATATCCGTTGAAGTTTATAAATCCTTGTAGAAGTTAGGTAACATCGAAGCCAACTGTGTACATAGTTTCTAAGAAAAAATGTATATGTCAATTAACCATACAGAGAGGAGTTGAATAGTATGATTTTGAGACGTAGGCTAACATCAGTCATTAGGAAAACATACTGTGGAAAAAACAAAACGCATACTTGCCCACAAACTTAAACACTCCATCAATAATTGCACCACATCCCATTGTGTTTACCAATTTACACAGGGAGTAATCAGGCCACAGAAGTGAAATTAAGAAAACGTGTACCTAAATGGCTTCAAAAACAAATGCAGTATGAAAATCTGTTAAGCCCAGGTGGGAGACGACTCTTCCATCTGTAGCTAAACACATTATAGGAACGGATCACACAAGTAATGTTCAAGAAGTTTCCAAAGTTTTATGAAGAAACAGTCAGGGATGCATAGTGAGATTCGTTGAAACGATACTCATAAACAAATCGAAACTGTCCTTATGTGTACTGAAACAATTTGCTCTTATACGACCATGGTGAACTTTATTTTCTTATCAAGATTATAATCACTTGTGTTACTGTTTTCGTTTTCATCTCAACTTTAATTTCCTGCTATCTTAATTGTAGTATATAATGGCTATAACATTTCATTTCATATCACTGAGGTTAGGTAAGAGTTACCATCTTCGATAAAAACTCTTTCTCTTGTAGGAACTGTAAAGATAAAATCAGTGAATTGCATGGAGTTGGCTTTAAGGAATCAACATTTTTTGAGTAGGTTTTAAATAATTCAAGGTTTGACTAGCTAAATAATTAGAACATACTGAACCGTATGTTGGCACATTTGTGCAGTGAAGTCATCTCAAGGGGACAAGAAAAAGATACAATGGGAAAATTCAATTCCTACAACCAGTAAGAAACTAAATAGTTTCCTCTCAACTGTATATCATAAATTAATTAGCTTGTTTGTAAGTCAAAAGAGTTACTTGATAGGATTGTATACTGTTCTTTATCCTTTTTACGTAGGTATTCAGTGTTCAGCATAAATTAGATACTTTGCTTCCTAAATGTGAAATCAGAAGCAAACTAGTACCTACATTTGTGTGTATGAATTATTTTTTTATTATTAGAACACATGTACAATTAAAAAATATCTTTATACTTTTCTCTGTTGTAGACACCATTGAAAAGCTAATTACTCTTTCAGTACAGGATAAATATCAAAGTTGATAAAGTGCATTCATTACAACTTTTCATAGATAGATTTATAAGTAAGATACCTCTTCTAATGACTAGTTACCCACTGTCTTTGAAAGATACGTTCACATTTATACTAGCAGAAAAATGTCACTTTTTTTTTATCGTAGGAAGGTGATGCAAGCAACTGAAACTGTTCACATTAGAGGTTGTGCATAATGTAAGCATCTCACCTGAATGCAATAGATGAAGAAGGGAAACTTATCAAAGCATTGTTTTATCATGAAAAATCTACTGATTTTACTGTCAGTCTATGCAGCTGTATCGATCATAGAACCAAATTAGTACTCGCAAACCGATGAACTCATAAGAGAAAAGTTGAGAAATCAGTTCGATAAATGGGAAGAATGTCAGTTAAAACATCCTGTATACTCCTCAGACACCTAGTGACACCTGATGAAACGAAGTGTATTCGAACTTACAGTAGTGGAACTTCGAAAATGTATTGATGAGTATTTTTCAGTTCAGTTCAAAACATTGTATTTTTGAACACATTGTAAATATTGAATAAAACCAGACTTCACTCAGCAATCAGGTGAACATTCGTGTGGTAGGCAGTGAAATTTAATGATATCATCAGGCTGCGCAAAACCACGTCAAAGGAGCGGGGTTCGAACCAGTGGCTCACTGGCTGAAAGTCTAGTGGTTACACCAATGAGTCCCAACACCAGTGCGCAATTCATTCAACACAATGAACTACACAAACAGTATAAATACTAGTCACTTGGATACATTACCGATCTCAAAAATACAAAACGCAATATCACAACTTCGCATTAGTAATAGTGTCAAAATCTGGTTTGCTATCTTCCTCACCTGAAATCATCCTCTAGTTTGTTTGTACGGTCGCTTAAAGCTTAAAAGCGGTTCATGATGTTTAAGAAATCGTTAACTATTCTGTAAACAACATTCTTTCTGGTTCAATGACTTATGGATGTAAATGAGTGATTTAATGATAAGGTTGTGGATACGATTTCTGCTCTCCAGTTAACACTGTTCTGGATTATAACTGGCTGAAACAATCTTTTAACAGATAACATAACAGACATATACTTGTTGTCGATTACCGATTACTCATTTGCATGCATTAGGCTTGACTTAAAGAAATTAAGGTCACGTACAAAGTCATGCAGTAGGTTTAATTTCGCTTCTTTTTTTATCATATTTATTTATTTATTCGTTGAGGTCTGTGAGTAACAGTTTTCCACTGATAAAAATTAAGATATATATGATAAATGTAACGTTCATCTAGGGTTAAAAGTTTATGGATTTGCAAATATATCCGAAAAAAGTTATTCGGTTCCGGTTTGTAGTTGAAAGATGAGTTATTTAAACAAGAAAAACTTCATCAAATATTTATTTTCATTACTGTTTTTTTCAAACGATTGTTTACTCATCTGAAAAAACATCATTGAATCATGAATGGCAGTTATGTTTCGTACTTATTAGTAAACTAGTTAGTCAGCCTTATAGCGGCCAGTGCTAAACATCTCAGACAGTTCCCTTTTCTTCTCTTCCCTAATTACATTAAAAGTGAACTGAGTAGCTTGGTTACAGAAACACACAGGATATGGGATAGTGGTATCTTTCTACGCTGTTGTATTTGACCTAGGCATAAAAAAGCGAAGGATGTAGGATAAATGATCTCATAAACCGTTAAAAATGATGACTGTTATGAATATCCTTCAGCTTCGACTGTCAATTTTCAGTCATTCGACATAGAGTTTACGATAATTGGATTAACCTTCAAAAATGTTATACTTTCCTACACTACTTATGCTGTCAGATGGTGATTAATGCATAGGTGGCATGCTTCTGTCTGGCTGTGTTCAAGTATAGTTTCATTTTATCTAATCCATATAACAGGGAAGGATTGGCAAATAATATCCATATCAAATGACTCAGTCACTTGATTCAATGAAGTTTTTCAATGCTACAGACTGATTTATCTGCTTTATTTAACCCTGTATGCTCAACTTCAATATCTCTCTCACAGAGCTCACAAAACAGATGTGCAAGGCAGCAAAACAGCTAGTGATCAAATGTTCAGAAGCTTTGCAAATCTTCTTTGTGTTCAAAATAATTTGGTTTTAGCAGGAAAATTTACCCAGTAGTGTTTACTTTCAATTCTTGGACGAGTTTTCTAAAAAAAATCAATATTTTTTGTGATTCAAAGAGTTTGTAATGCATGAGGATTGTGCTACTTCCATTGTAGTGCCAGACAGTAAGGACTTGTAATAAACTTATTATTTGCAGAAAGCTGTACTAGGATGAATATGGTCCTTGTACTGTGAATAATCTGCTGAACTTCATCAGACTGGGCAATTCACTTTGCAAATTACTGCAGATTATATATTTTTAATATTTCAGGTAATCTTCGAAAGATTTATTCAAATTGGCTGCATAAAAATACAGTTAATAGAAACTATTTTTACAACTTTTGCTGAAGAGATCGCATTCTGCTTTAGAATTCATACATTTTACGAGTTTTTTTAATATGCAGTTACTGATACATTCCTTATGCTGTTAGTGTGAACTCTGCACTGGCAATGCAATAAACAAACAATGAAGTGTTTTCAGGACTTGTTTGGTATTTTGTAGTGCAAAGTTGTAAATTTCATTGTCATGAAATTATCTCTTTTTTGTTTTTCTTACGTATACTTTAAAAATAATATTATTTTCACATGAAGTGGGAAGTGATACGATAATGACCCGTCTTGTATGAAAAATGTTCGTATTATCGCGATCTGATTTATTATTTAGCTTGCATGAAACTCCGTTATAATCTCCATTCATTCTGTGTCTAAGAGAGAAACTGCTTAGACACATGGATCGGAACATACATAGTGTTATTACGTCGCCTTCCTTTTGAAATTCATGTTTCCTATTTGATTGGATGACAATAAACGACATCAATTAACTACTGAATAAGGACTCAGATTAGTTTAAAATTACTGTCTAATATGTTTGTTGCCTCAAGAAATCACAATTAAAGCACTACATCTTGTTTTTTTCTCTACAGGCCATGACTGTTACGCAATGAGTAATCCGTAAAAGTGTGATACGGTGGGAGCTAATTGTCCATGAGCCCTACTTTATCTAGGTTTTTGGCTTGCTGCCACTAATGATTAGGGTATATCTGTGACCCCAAAAAACTGGTGACCTCTAGGTAATTCAACTGTGCACCGTTCAGTTCCAAAGTTAAAGACAACCCCTAAGCTCAAGCCATTTAACAGCATCAGTAATAATAATCAACCGAATACAACTTACCAGTTATAAATTCAGCCAAAATGCATCCTAAACTCCACATATCGATTGGAGTACCATATGGTAGACCAAGAATAATCTCCGGCGCACGATAAAAGCGTGATTGTATGTAATTGTATGGGCATTCATTAATATAACAACTCGATCCAAAGTCGATTACTTTGATTTTACTCTTTCCTGCACGTCGTAATAGTATATTCTCCGGTTTCAAATCACAATGAATAACTTTATTTCTGCAAATTAAAAGAAGAAGAACAAATGAGAGGAAAGTTAGATTTGTTCGTATTTCTTGGTAGTGAGTCTTTAGAGGAGAAAATCTTGGATGTGCCTTCAAAATATATTTAAAACATGGCAGCTACACAATCATAACTATATTTGGGAAAATGAGTTGAGTGTACCGATATCCCATGGGTTGTATATCAATGAGAGTAAGAATGTCTTAGGAAACGTAACTAGAGGTCAATAAGTGTGGATAAACCCGTGAAAAGGGAAGTGAAGTAAATGGATTCAGTGGAATACAGACATGTGTTGAGTCTTTAAAGAGAGATAAAGAAGAAATGATTTTATTTTCAGAGTAAAGTAGGATTAAAAATACTACCGGGATGACCTAGAAACTGTCTTGTGATATTCATCCAAAGTTTTAAAGTACTCTTTCTATCAGTTGAAACCTAATTTTCAAATCGCTTACATCATTAGTAATACACGCCTTTAAGATTCAGAAAATAATCGGCCAGTCAAGCAAATTCAGAGTCAAAATACTCTCATTTAGCAGTTAATTCACTAAGGTAAGAGGAAGAAGAAGTCAGTGATATAGTGCCGGATATTTGTACCTTAGGAGGATAATTTTGATGAGCTGGATTGTTTAATCAAGGAGCTTTCGTTGTCATTTTAGACATCATTAGCATAAACTTCAGAAAACCACTACATCTGACAGAGTGGTCTCCGTCTTCGAATCCATCTACATGAACTTCAAATAGCAGCTAAGCATCATGACATATTTTCGCTTAGATCAATGCATACAGATGCCTATGGACATGAATCTGACTAGGAAAATGTCAAAATCCTGGATAGAGGAAACATAAAGAATGCCAAAGAATATTTAGAAGCTTGGTATCTAAGTCAGTCAGCAAACAACAGACACATTGGTATTGACCCAATCTATCAACCAATAAGAAACAATAAGGTCAGATTTCAGGTCATGAGGACAACCAATCAAAATAGACATCGAGACAGCGACAAGACCTTGGCAGAAACAATCAGTCAAATGCAAGGTCATCAGGACAAGCCACTGAATAAATTGCAGAGAAAACCTTGCTGCTCCCTTCTTTGTGAAGTTTATGCTGATGATGTTGTCTAGAATGACAACGAAAACTTCATGATTAAACAATCCAGTATCAATATACGCAAATCTTGGGTAATATTCTGTAGACAGCATGCAATAGCAAAAATTTGTTCTTCACCTTATGAAAAATGATTAATTGAAGACCACGAGCAAACGACAATAGGATGCTCAAATTTATTTGTAATTGGTTACTGCGTCTATTTATTACACAATTCTTTGTCTAATTTTAAAATATGCTTGCTAAGACTACTGCCATGGTGAATAGTAAGTAGTACAGACTTATGACCTGAATATTTTAGTGTTGAACTAATTAATGAATATAAGGGGTGAATCACCGGAAGAGTATTTCTCGATAAAAAAATCACTTACTAATTAAAACTATTTTGGAATGGTAATTGCAAAAAAGTAGAAACATTCAGAGGTATGTTGATTATCAACATGGTAAACGGATAAGTTTCTTAAAATAGTGTATTATACTATCTTCAGTATTTCCAACAGAAAACAAATCAGGTGAATTTCCAAGTTTACAGGCTGAGTGATTTCAAGAATATGTATGGAAACAAATGTGAGGATGCCTAATTTAACATATATTTCAGATTAAATTCTAATTGAAAGCGAGGTTTCTTTAATAGAGAAAGGTCTAACGTCATTACTGATTCATCATCAACTAGTACAAATTATCTAGTCAACTTTTGATCTTTATTGAATAACGGAGCATAAACTGTACGTTAAACATTTTACATACTCTCATAACGATAAGAAACACACACTCAAATAACATTGAAAAGAAATTTCATATTTTTAGAAGATTTGCAGAAAGACAATAGCCTTGTGATTATAAAAGTGGATTAAAGGAGTGTAACAGTCATTATGAAGAGAATAAATGATGAGAAGAAGGTGAATGAACATCTATCAGAAGGACCAAACTGATGGAAATAAAAGATCTGCTGAAATGAACCAAATAAAACTTAACACAATTAGACTACTTCAAAAAGTGAAACATATAATCATTCGCTCCTTTCAGTTTAAACGCAAACTTAAGCCTTACATACGTCCAAAATTCTACAGTTTACCTAAGTTCTATTCACATTCAGTTATAATGAGATCATTTTCTGTCAGTTGAAAGTGAGGAGGATGAAATTATTCTAAGTTATAACATCATTTCTTTATTCACTAGGAAGACAATTATTGATAGCGTAGATAGATAGGTAACCTTAACGGAAAAATATCCACTGAATACCAGTGACATTAGTATAACCTAAACATTTCGCTTGCAGACTAATTAATTTACTTTCGGGAGGAAACTATCCAGATAATCTAACGGTGTAGCTATAAGTTTGCTTGTCTTACCTATAGTTGCCAACTTGCTTATGAGTGAATTGAAAGGAAGAGTTTTCACATATTTACTAAATTCAAAAATTAAGCTTAGTTTCATTTCATCTGAGTCTTTCTACCATCGCTTACTATATAGCAGTCTCTCGATGTTTTACTTAGACGTTTTTAAGATACGAAATGGTAACGAGTATGATGACGCGTTATTTCAGAATAGTTGGACTGTTTGAAAAATAGGACTTAGCAAGATCTACAGGTGAAAACTAACAAACTGGCAAAAGAGACGAGGCAGCGAAGACGGAATTCCCTTCAGGTGAACTTAGAGAAGACGGAGGTGATGAAGATACCCAACCAACATCACCATCAACAACAAGCTCCAATCACCATCAACAGGAAAAATCTAAAGGAAGTAGCCTCTTTCACCTACCTAGGCAGAATCGTTTCAACTACAGGCGGCACAGGCACAGATAAGAACGTCAAAGCCAACCAGGATCAGAAGGATAGCAAGACAGGCCTTCATTAACCTGAAATCAGTGTGAAGATCTATTGCACTGCACTCAGCATATAGCATGAGCAAGATCCGGATTTTAACACTAATGTCAGTCAAGTCAGTACTTCTATATGATGGTTTAGAGAGTTGGCGCGTCACGAAAAGCATTTCCAACAAACTGCAGACATACCTCGTCAATAGATGTCTATACTCATTCGATACTGAAGATTAGATGGCCAGAAAGAATAAGCAACAAGGAACTCTGGGAACGAATCAACGAAGAACCCATCGCCCAACAAATATGCAGAAGAAAGTGGAGATGGATTGGACATACACTGAGAAAGAAGACCGTTTGGGGGCATCATGTGACAGGCTAGGTCGTCAAGTAGAAGCGAAATGGGAAACAACGAGTTGGGCGTCCCAGCTGAGGGTGACATGGAAGAGATGGCGTGAGGAAGAAATGAGAGCTTTTTTGTAGTCGTGGAGCCAGGTTGAAAAGACTGTAGAGAAGAGAGTGAAATGGAGACGTGCAACTGAAGCCCTGTGTCCCACTAGGAACCCAAGGGATAAATAAAAAAATGTAATAAACTGTGGCATCAGATAAACTTTCAGATAGAGAAAGATAACTCATTGTCAAAAGGATTCATAAAGCTTGAGTTTCATAAAGGAAACGAAACTCTATGAACCATCTATGCATTTATTACCAGCTTTAAAATGTCAACAATTAGTCATTCTTCATCAGTTTATACCAGTGTATAAACAATCTTTGATTGGATCCATTCAATATGAAGTGTACAAGTGTTTTGTTCTATGTCAATAGTTACCATAGAATACTATTGTCTTTTTATTTCATTTACTCTTCTATGTATAACATCATAGTTTAATTCTCTTGTCAAGAAGTTCACTTTTCTAGGACATAGTATAAAGACTTATCATTACAAAATAATATCACATTTGTATTAATCTATGTATTATAATTAACGATTAATAGTGACAATCGATTTATCATTCAATGGAAAGGTTAAATGAACCCTGATATAATTAATTTTATAAATATGCCAAATCGACACATTGTTCACAGTGGTTATCGGAGTCATTTGATTAATTTTAAAGTAAATTAGTCAAATAATTCTCAGAAACCTGAGTTCAGATGATTGTTGTCAGCTTATTTACTTCTATTTCTGTTACTTCATCTAATGACCTTACAGCATTCATGATGGTATAATATTATTACTATTTTTATCATCACAATGCATGATTTATGTGAATCAGTTATCTCACCTTGGAAAACATATCTTAATAAACAATTTTTACAAAGATACACATTTACTCTTACACTGATTTCACTATAGATGAGTTCATAGGTGTTTCGCCTCCGTTTATGACTCTTCAGTATAGTTACACCTTAATCATTGGTGAGAATGAAGTTTTCTGATTTTTTTGAAAAAGTAAGAGACTTGAGAATCAGATAATCAATAAACGTCACTCCTTTCTCATTGTGAAACTTACCTAGTTATTGTTTACTGGGTTTTTTAAAACATAGTTCTGTTTTATGTAAACCTAATACTTAATATCTCATGGATTTCCTACCTTGGATATCCGGTTAGACAGCTTGCAGAAAAGTGGTCATATCTTGAGGGTTATCCCTAAAGTTTATTTCTAACATATTAGTGGACTGATGGTCACTAACAATTGAAACTGCTGAGAACGCTTCACTCTGCACATTCCGATGCACTGATATCATCTGAAAACATATTTCAAGTACCTAAACTCTTATGAAGTTTAGTACAATAAATTAATGGTATAAACGTGAAGTAACTAGTTCTTTTTATAAATTTGTATAGTGCAGTTAGAAGATAAAGTTTATCTGAGCAGTGCGTTATTTTTATGCAGTACATTTCGAACAATATGGTCACACACTTACTTGTCATATCAGTTTATATAAAATCGATAAATGGGCGAAAAAATAGGACAATTATGATAATAGGGGCTTATTGTTGAGTAAAACAATAACCGAAGAATGAAATATTCAATCCAAATCTCAGTAATAAAACCGAATTTCAAACTAG